AAAAAAAAAAAAAAAAAACAACTAGTAGAAGCTTGAACATTCACAAGACTCGTTATGATTTCCTTCCAAAATATATTCCAACTTGAAGGAGGTGTACCTTCAAATTTTATTTATTTCGACTGCTCGAAAGGAGCCCGGACAAAGAGACGTCCATGCAGGCTAACCACGGCTGAAGTCTGAAGTGTATCGATTTTTGCCGGTAAGGTTATCACCTAAAAATAAATAAATCAAACAAATAAAAATCCAGGCACCTTATTATCGTAAAAGTTTAGCATATTGGAAAAAAGAGATTAGTGAGGTTTTTATATTATAATTTGCCTAAAGTATTTTGGTGAGAGCATATTATTCAAAGGGAGAAAAGGTCAAGGTACCTTTTTAAACGGCGTAATCCCCCAAGGATTATCAATTTGCTCAGGCTGACCTGTTATGACTACATGTCCAGAGGGATCTGATTGAACGCGTACCTGAGTCACCAATCACAGCATACTAAATCATATGTTGTCTTATCTCAACTTGAAAATCTCAAATTGATAAACGGAAATACAATGTAGGCAATATATGTCGATTTACACAAATTCTTGTGTGAGTTAGCCTAAGCAGGTCGACAAAAAATGCATAGTTGCATACTTATACTGTAAAATGTCATTTTTGTTTAGTTTTTCAATATGTCACTTATGTATGAAAGTATGCATATTTGTTAAAAACGTATAACTACCTAACGGTTACGTCAGTCTGTCGGTAGCCCTACCGGTCAAGTTGTGCAAAGTTTTGTTCATGTCCAAAGTTGCACAAATTCGAAAATGTGGTACACAAAAACTATTTTTAAATGGACAAGGACAAAAGAAACAGACATATTATTGTATCTCTTTATCAAGAAAGTCCATAACTGCACTTGAGTGTGTGTTCACAATTTTCTAAACTACAGATTCTATTTCCCATCATCTTCCATGTCACACAAAAACACAACAAATGATAAAAAAATTTAAAATAAAATTATTATGTCTTTAAATCTATAATTATTGATGTCCCCACCAATTTTACAATTATTATAGAAATTAACGTAATCTGCTTTTTCAATAATTCATTCCTCACATCCTCAAACTAATGAACAGAGATGGAAAAGTATGACATCCTCTTATCAGGTTCCAATCAGAAAACAACATAAAGTCGATGCTCTCTCTCTAAAATAATAACGGTAAGAATGACAAAGAAAGGAGGAGGCCGTTCGTGTCTTTCTAATTTGCTTTTCTTTTTTTATATCTTAGGTGCAGGGGAAGGATGGGAATGGTATATTCGATCCTATAGGTGGGAGCACTGATTTCTTACTGTTAGATCACACACACCCACACATACGTTAGATCACACACTCACACATACCCACATGGGCGTGTGTTGATCCATCGGTTAAAAAAACTAATGTGGGCAGTAGGTACGAATTTAGACTGGAAAGTCGAGCAAGAAAGGATACATTAGGACAAAAGTTAAAAGGAAGCACACCTCTTCACGTAAAAGCCCAGGAACTAGAGCATAGACCTCAAAACAATCTTTCTGCAAATGCAAAATGAATAAATGTCACTTCCTATAGCACATGTAAATGTATGTTTGCAAGTGAGAAAGACAGAACCAGATAATTTGAAGGAAACGTACAGTTTGGCGAACATTAATCTTCACCCAGTCCGCTGGAGGCCCAACATCAACAACTGACTGAACTAGTCTACAAACCAGAAAATAGCAATTCAAAAAATATAATTCTCTCACGGTATCGCCTAATAAATGGACAACAGCATCCCAAAGGTTTTAGATACACTCAACAATCATTTTACAAAAACATAGTTACACTTCATTAACATCAAAAGAATTTGTTACACAAAATTAGAACAAACCCAACTCGACTCACCTCGCGACCTCCCCTTTCTTTTATTTCTACTTATTTTTTAATATTGGGACTCCACCTATATCAAGATCTTATTTTTCCTTCAAATTTAATTTTAAATATCGGGACCCAATTTTAGATGGGCTGGACGGATCAGCTGAAAGCATTCAATCAAAGAATAGAACATATTTTGAATCATCTTTACACTCATAACACTGACATTTGCCACTCCCAAAAGGGAAAAATGAGACATCAAACTCTTGGCTAAACCAAAAAAAAAAAAAATGGTGACAAGACTTAACTGCTTGGGTATATCAGTTCTGGAAAGTTTATTTGAATGCTCCATTTCATTTGGTCTTTTCTGTTTGAGAGAGCCTACACATGATATCAGATAAAGATAAGCCACTATGATGAATCAAGTGATAAAGATGAAAGCGAAACAGGCCTATTGACAGTTTGAAAGAGGTTAATCTGAAGATCATTTACGTAAAATATACTGAAAAACAAGTGGCATACCAATGCTTTTTATAACCTTCTCACGCTTAACCATATTGCTCAGACTCTTGTCCTATAAAAATATGTTTAACAAAATAGTGTGAACAGAAATGAACGGTAGTAAAAGTATAAAAATTATCGCAAAATGTTAACTCTGACCGACCTTTATAATAGGCTCACTAATCTCACTACCAGAAACACGTTGACCACGAGCAGCAGCATCTTTTCTAGCCTTTCCTGATCCTGAACCCTGATAACCACTTCCCTTTGTAAAATTATATATTCAAATTTATACTCTGATCTTTATGCTGACATATATATCCAGTCAAAGCAATGGCCTACCCATTGTCCCAAACCAGCAGTCAAAAACACAAAAATATAATAGAATCAAAACAACCACTGGCAGAGGAAACACAAGCTCATACACACATCTCGTATTTGATAGATATTTGATGAAGATGTGATTTATCAAGACAACTTTATCATCTCTTGAGATTTGTTTATGTAGCTTACATTATTTTATCATCTCTGAATAGTTCTTATAATGAGTATAATTATAGTAACAAAACAGTTACTTTGTCATTATTATTATTAGAGGTGGTTGATTATTGATAAAAATAAAAGTTTTCCCTTCTTTCTATGCACTTGTGCAGTGTCACATACATTGCTTCATCAGTTCCCATCGAGAAGATATATTATAAGCAAACCCACCTCAGCATCAACACCAGAAGCTTCAGGTGCTGTTGGTATGGGAAGTCGAAGCTCACCAATTTGTATCTTATGCTTTTCATATTCCAGAAGAGACTAAATCACAAAAAAAAAAAAAAAAA